TAAAAATAGGAGTTTTTGGGATTAATTGAACATCTTTTGAAAGTTTAGGGACTGAATTGCAAGAAGAAGGGCGCCTCTTTTGGACTTAAATGAATGTATCTTGAGTTTTGGGATCTAAGTGCTCATCTTACAAAATCTGGAAGACCAAATTTGCTATTTTACCATTGAAGAAATTCCAAAAAGACTAGAAACTCGACACGGGTGTAGTGTCAACACATAATCGGGTGGTCGACACAATGCATTAAGCGTCCAAAATTAGACTTTTGGTTTCTTGTTTTGTGTCAATATGTAATTCAGGATGTCAATACCATGCGTTCAACGTTCAAAATTTAAATTGCCTATTCTGTTTCAAATCCCACTTTTATTCCAATTAGGGTTTAAAATTCTATAAATACACATCCAAATTTAGAATTGAGTAGAGTTGGTGGAAGCTAGTGGCAACCCTCTTTTGGGTATTTTTGGAGATCAAAGAGTTCAAGTTCTTTAATTGGGTTTTCTTTTTATCTATTGTTTGATATTCGAATGTTCACGATTATAATTTTAGATTTTATTATTTTTATTATGAACTAATTTATTTTATTAAGGCTATGATGTAGCCTAATCAGTTTAATATAAATTTTGTGATTTTTATACTTTCAATTAAAGTTATTCATGCATGAGCTTAATAAAGAATTGTGTAAATTAAACCAATAATAATATAAACCGTGTGTTAGACTATGAGACCGAGAGATAATTAACTCACATGTGGTAGTGGAGAAAGAGAAGAAAGTTAGGAGTCCTCTTTAAACTAGAGGTTACCATAGAATTTAATGCTCATTAGTTTGTTTAAAATTACATAGAGATATGATTAATTTAACAAATAAGTGAAGGATTAACTTAATTTGAGAAAGAGAAGAAAGTTAGGAGCCCTCCTTAAACTAGAGGTTACCATAGAATTTAATACTCATTAGTTTGTTTAAAATTACATAGAACTGTGATTAATTTAACAAAGAAATGAAAAATTAACTTGACTTGAGAAAGCTAGTTAATTAATTTAGGAAAATCTATCATCACATGTAATAACACTTAACAATTTGATAATCCAAAATTTATTTTAATTGATTATGGTGAAATCGATGCCTTAGTACCTCATATCTTGGTTAAGTTTATTTTAATTCTTATTTTCTTTTTATTATTTTTTTAATTAAACTTTCTTCCTTTTCGATTGTTTAAATAAATTTGGATTAATTATTTTGATATTTAGTTAAACACAATTCTCGTGGATTCGACACTTTTCTCATCGTTATATTATTTAGAACAAGTAGTACACTTGTTAAGGTGATTTTAGTGCATCAAGAAACATTTAATGAGAATAAATAAAGATTACTTAATTGATGATTAACAAGATTAAACTGATCAATGTACTATTATTAGTGATTTGTATGCAAAATACTTAAGTACGATAAGACAAGGGTAGTTACAAAACTACCTTAACAATTATCCAATACAAACAAACTTAAAAGAACTACCATAAACTTAAAAACACTTAAAATTGAAATTAATTTAAAAATAAACTAATTCAAATTGCAGCTTTGGTGGCATGCTTATCTAGAACAACTCCAACAACCTCCTCCTTAGCAATAAAGCTACAAATACCAAAATGGTCTCTAAGTTCTACAAACCTTTTCTTTTGCAAAGGTTTGATGAAAAAATCTACTAACTAGTCTTTTGAGTTGCAATACACAATTTGCACCTCTTTTCCCTTTTCAGCAAGCCTTAAAACCTCACAAACAAAGCAAGAACTTTAAATTATTGCTTCAAGAAATAAATTCAGCACATATATTCCATTGAAGTCATAAATAAACATTGAGGGAAATTTGCTGTCATTTATTGATGACATTTGCACTAGACCACAAAAAACAGAATCAACTAAATGGAGCTTTTTTGTAGCTTTCCAAGCCTTGTTCGCCGCAAAAGAAAACTTACTAAAATTTTCTTTTTGACAAACACCACATATAGCATCAAACTCATGAATCATAGGCATATCCACAATCATATTTTTGTTCTACAGCAACTTCAGTGAAGCATAACTATGATGACCAAACCTTGTATGCCATTTCTCAGATTCATCCACAATAATAACATATGTTTTAATTTTAGTTTGGTTTTTATCAATAGAAAAACTTCTATAATTCATACTAGTAGTAAATAATTTGACACCAAATTTATCAACCACATCAACGCATTCATCATGAAAAAACACCAAATAACCATTCTCTAATAGCTAACCAACACTAATCAAACTTTGGCTTAAGCTAGGCACATATAAAACATAAAAAATGTACCTGATGAACATCTCAACAAGCTATCCATTTCCAAGTTTAACCTTTGAGGAGTAGGTTCTTTTAAGTGTCTTGAAAATGGCCAAATTTGAGGTCATGTGATTGGTGCATCCACTATTAATGAACCAAGAATTTGAACCCAAAAACATTGATGAACATCTCTCAACCAAAGTAGCCACAAAGAACTCTTCTACCTCCTAATCCACATTCTATGCAACTTGAACCTTTTGTTATTGATTTGCCTTAGCTTTGCAAACCTTTTCAACATGGCCAAATTGCTTACATGACCTGCATTTGACACCAAGCCTAAACTAGCAATAAATTGCCATATGAGTCATCGTCCCATAGTGAAGACATGACGGATAAAGCTTTTTCTTGCCCCTATAATTACTGCTTTGTTGGTCTTTTTGAAAATCCCTCTTCTCCTTCCACTTTTGTCAACAATTGCATCTCTTCACCATCCTCTTTGAACTAACGCTTTCCTTTTTCATTTGCAATTAAAGCACATTAAATAGCACCTTCAATAGAAGCTTCTTGCCATATTGCTTTCCTTTGTTCAACAACTTAAAGTGCATTCACAAGTTCAGAAAGTGACATCCATGTCATATCCCATGAGTCTTCATAAGAAGAAATTTTATGCTTAAATTTCTTTGGTAAACTCACAAGAACATTATCTACAATCCTCTTCTCTGTAAGTTCTTCACCAAGTATTCTGATCTAATTCACCACTTTCATCAACCTGTCAAAAAATTCTTTCACAGTCTCAATTTCTTTCATCCTAAGAACCTCAAATTTCCTCCTAAGATTAACCACTTGAATATACTTTGCTTTTGCATCTCTTTGGAACTCCTCCTTGAGTTTATCCTAGGCTTCCTTTGCTATTTTACAAGTCATAATCCTAGTAAAAATTAATTTAGACACTGCAAGTGAGTGGTGGTAAGTGCCTTGTATTTCTTTGTCACTTCCTTTGTCACTTCCTTTGCGTGGTCCTTATCTGGTTCAATGTTGCATTTCTAGGCAAGGGGGTGGATCAATGTCGTTCTCAACAGCATGTGAGATATCAATTGCTCTCATATATGCCCTCATTTTGATTGACCAAACTTGATAATTTTGGCCACAAAAAATAAGAGCCTTTGTGGTGAAACTGATACTTGCTTCCATGATTCTACTTAAACTCTCTCAAATATTGGTGTTACAACCTCACAGACCCTCATGGATCAGAAAAGCTCTGATACCAATTGAAGGATATGAAACTAAGAAAGGAGAGATTGAGTGCAGAAGTCATAATTTTTATTATACAAAATACTTAAGTACACAAATAAGATAAGAGTAGTTACAAAACTATCTCAATAGTTATCCAATACAAACAAATTTAAATAAATTGCTATAAACTTAAAAACACTTAAAACATAAATTAATTTGAAAATAAACAAATGCAAATTACAGCTTTAGTGGCATATTTATCTGGAATAATTCCAACAAAAACATTGGCAAAAAAAGGATTAATTAATTAACTCACCATGTTATTAATTGACTACTTTAGTTCAATTATCCATAGATAAATTTTATAACAAAACATGCTTCTAGTAGAATGATCAATTTTGATTCACGTTCGAAAATTGAAAAATAAACATAATAATAAAGCAAAACTAGCAACTCTCTATAAGTTGAATTGGTTCTAGAACTATGAAGAAGAAGGTTGGTATCACACCGCACCTGTCTAATTAAATACCTAATCAATTTGGAAGAACCTAGCTACATGGAGAGGTACCTTCATAATAATTAATTAATGTGAGCTAGTAGGTCTAAAATATTATAAGTTTTGTTTTAGCCTAAACATTTTTACTTTAGATAGTTAAGACTAAAATTCAGAATAAATACATAATAATTATCGATTATGGTGTGAGTCTAATTCAATCCCACATGATCAATGCTCAAAAAAAAAAAAAAATCTTAAAATTTGGTTTCAAGAATTACTACTAAAATGTGTTATTACTCATTGACTGACACTACACTAGATAGGACTACAAGCAAATCAAATCTTAAGGTTGGTATGAGTATGGATTCACTTGGATTCAGTTTGATAGAACAAGGATCGACTTGGTTAAAATTTCTTATTTTTGGCCAATGTCAAACCAACTCACTAATATTTTGTCAACTAATTATGAAAAAAAAAAAGTACAAATAAAGATGTGAATTTTGTTATTTTTTTAATTTAAAATTTAACTTTT